TGGAACACAAATTGAAAGTTCGTCACTAATTAAGAATCTCGTGAGGAATATTATTCATATATTGTTGAAAAAACAACCCAAATTTAGAATAACAAGAGAGCCCGGAAGACTAAGGATCTAAGAACGAACGAAATTCAAAGTCAATTTATTTCTTTTATCTAATGAAAGGAAATAGTAAGAATTTTATTCGTAAGATTCCTATTGTTCTTCAAGTGGAAGATGATCCTAAGACTTAAAGAGAAGAATTAGCTTCAAAGGACTTCTCCTTTTGGACGGAAACTATTATAGACAAAATGAACTCTTTAATGTCAAACTAAAAGGTTTTTAGACAAAAGGAATATCTTGATTATTTTGATACATATGCAGTAGTAGAAAAGACGACAACAATTAAAATATATTTTAAATTTTCTTCTTTTCATGAACTTATAGTTCATAAAATGGATGTTAAAATGAAATTTAAATATGGTGATCTCGATGATGAGATTTACATGGAGCAACCATAAGATTATGTGCTTTCTAGTAATGAACAAAAGGTGTGGAAGCTTATCAAATCCCTGTATGGATTAAAACAAGCACCAAAACAATGACATCAAGCAACCATAAGATTATGTGCTTTCTAGTAATGAACAAAAGGTATGGAAGCTTGTAAAATCCCTGTATGGATTAAAACAAGCACCAAAATAACGACATCAAAAGTTTGACTTAGTCATTGCAAGATTCACTAATTAATGGAGAGATACACAACTTAAGGGGAGATTTCAATTCAAATATGTTGTCAAAATCAAATGAGGGAGATTGTGAGGAACACATCTTATATCTAGTTTAGTTTTGATGAAGATAAAGATTATCAAAGAAGAAAAAGATCAAAAGTGTCTACACATCAATGATGAAGTCGATCAAGAAGGTTTAACATAGAAATTCAAGTGAAGATGTGAGACAAGTGAACATAACTAAGGTTCTCATTGTAGTTTATACTACACTACTTTAAATTGCTCATAATTTCATCTCTCACTTCATCTACAATCTTCTTGCATCATCATACATGATTATCTAAAAGCCTTCTTCATCTGATTCTTATTATAAGCGTTTGTACACAAAGTTGTGTGAGAATATTGTGATATTAATTTGTATCCATGTTGATTATATGATTGATCATTAACAACGAGATGAATGAGTTTTTAGAAAAAAAAGAGGTTTCTAACTTCCACATTCAAGATGAATGATCTTGGACTAGTTGACACACTTTCGGGGATCAAAGTAAAGCAAAATAGTGGGGGTTATGAACTTAGTCAAACATACTATGTTGAGAAAGTGCTTGATAATTTCAAACACTTAAGCTTTAAGAAAGTGACCACTCTATTTCATTCTAGTGCCAAACTTTAAAAGAGTTGTGGCTAAATTAGAGTATGTAAGTGTATGCAATGTTCTAGTACCGACATAACATTTGCAATTAGTGAAATAAGTAGATTTTACTAGCAATCCAAATGGTGAGAACTGGAAGGCAGTCATTAGGATTTTAGACTATCTTATGAAAACCAAAAAATGTTGGTCTTCGTTATGGAAGAATTTATGCCATATTAGAAGGATATACCGATGGGAGTTGGATATCAAATGTTGAATATCATAAATCTACATTTGGCTTGATATTTACACTAGCATGGGTTGCAATTTCTTGTAAGAGTAAGAAACAAATGTGGATCAATATTTCAACCATAAAATCAGAGTTCGAGGCTCTTGCTTCTACCGATAAAGAAGTTAAATGGTTGAGGGACCCCCTGTTGGAAATTCCATTGACTAAAGAGAATGTTTCAAAGGTGTTGATACATTGCAGTAGTCAAACCACTTTAACTAAAATATACAAGAAGTGTATGACAGAAAGTCTAGGTAAGTAGGACTTATACATTCTTTCATGAGAAAATTGATTAAGAATGTAATCATTTACATATATACGATCGAGCTATAAATTTCTTGATCCAGTTACTAAACCACTGGCCAGAGACTTAGTAAAAATAACCTCGAGAGAGGCATGAGGTTGAAACTCTTTGAGTAAGAGTTCCGACAGCTGCGGCGACCCAATCTTACGTTAACAAAACAGTAACCTCAAGACTCAATGGGCAACAACAAGTCGTTGATTTGGATGTTTGTCGAACATTTCGTGATAATATTAACCTTTAAAGTGAGGATCGAGTTTTTATTTAAACTCTTAATGAAGTTCAATACTGAGGGTATGTGTCTCATGGAAAAGGATACAATATGAACTTCACCTATGTGAATTTCGAGATGGTGTTGTCTCAAAGTGAGAGTTGAAATTTCTCTCACGAATAATTCATGAAACAGGAAAGCATATGGCCATAATTAAGTGTTAGGCAAGAAACGTAGGCGAAGAACCTTAAAAAATGTGTGTAAGGTAACGTCGGTCTATTCACATGGAATAATGGTTTAAAAGTATTGCTACCTAGCATTTCAATTAGACTTTGTGTTGTCTTTACTAAGGTTAAGTTTTAGATTGAAAGATAACTAATTGTACTAACATTCTTTGTTTCTCTTTATTAAAATTGCTCTTGTCATTATTAGAACAAGTGGAAGATTGTTATAATTTATGAACAATAAATGTTCATGGGTGTGTTCCAAAATGACAAGAAAATTGAAAGTGAGTAAATGTCAAAAAATGATTAGAAATTCGAAGAGAACCAACACTTCATAAAGTCAGCTTTGGAATGAACATAGACAATGCTTAGAAACAATACAACTTTTGGTTAAAATGTGTTGTTTCATCAAGGGTTACAACCTTGTGAAACAACACATACATGGTCTATAAATACTCCATTTCGAAATTCAAAAAATCATCTCGCAAACCGAAAATCCTCTTATACAAATTTCAAACTGTCTTTGCTGCAAATCGAGTTTTCATCGATTTTACGCAAATTTGATATAAGGCTGAATTATTCTGTGTATTTCTGCGTTTCAACTCTAAGACATTTGATAATACTTAAAATATTTATAAAAGAAATTATTGTTCACGATTCTAGCATCGATTCATTCGATTTAAAATAATTTTCTAACATAGGATATCTTTATTAATTACTAAGTAGAGAGACCAAAATTTTAAATCTTGAAGTGATGCTTTTCATACTTATCTCCTTTCATTTTGGAATAAGTCGTTGCATTACCAACACATTAGTTTTATATTTCTCCACTTGCTTGTTACCTCCTAGTTATTATAGAGTCATAAATACTCTTTGATGATAATAATATTTAAGAGACATTTTCTAAATTTATGATGCATCTTAAAATCTTTTATTTGTTCAAAGCTCATTTGTATTTGGTCAAATGAACTCTGTATTTATTTATTTTTTTAAATTGGATATCCTTAATTGTAGAAATTAATCTCTGAGATTGGGTGGAAATACACCGAGTGTCAAAATTCTTCTTCAAGATAATTTAATAGTGTTGCGTATCGACTATATTCGAACCCAAAACCTTCTTTTAAATGGAAAAAAATCTATTACCACATATTCAAATATTCTTGAGTTTAAAACATATTTATAAATTATCATAATTTTAATAATATATGGTATATGCTTTAATCGAAATACTATAGTACTATATAATTTTTCATATTTTTAGATAGGAGTGGTCATGGATGGTGAATGATCAAAACCAATCTATAACCATAAATAATCCATATAGTACAACTGGTTATTAAAACCATTTCTCATAACCAGTTTTTATCTTTTAAAATGGTTATAAACCGGTTATATCCATAACCAATTTTATAATTAATTTTGATTTTATTTTATTTTAAAATTGATTTTTCAAAATCATAATATTGTTAAAATAACTATTGTTTTTTTTTTAAATTCATAACTTTTGGTCTCTAAATATTCAAAATCATAATTACTATTGTTAAAATTCATGAATGAAAAGTTCATATAATTCCTTCGTTATTAAATGAAAAGTTAGTTAATCGAATGAATACAATTTAACTATTAATATATATCATTTCATCTAATTCATCTCCATATTTAAAAAATATCAGTTTAGTTTTATATTTTAAATTTATTAAACCAATTTAACAATTAAATAATAATATTGATTACAGTTACTCCAATCTATCTATTTTTTCTTTCTTATATAATTCGTTGATTTGTAATTAAAAATATGTGTTATTAAAAAATAATAATTATTTAATATTTAAATATGATTTTTGTATATAAATTACAATAAAAAAATAAACGGTTATTGTCGTTTGAACAGTTATTGGATTAAATTAAAATTCTTATTTAAGATGGTTAAAAACTAAAATAAAATAAAAAGAATATGATCTAAATTTGCATTGATTGAATTAAACGGCATGTCTATTTTGATTGTAGATATGATTTTTTTTTCTTTTTGTAGTCATTTAATTTGTGTGAACTGGAGGACTAATTTAAATAAAGAAGGATAGAGTAAATTAGAATTTTATTTACTATTGTTATTTTAACAATATTATGAATTTAAAAATTATGAATTTCAAAATCATAATATTCAAAATCATAATTTTTGGTTATGAATTATAAATAATAGTTATTTTAAAATTCATAAACTTTTTATTTACTGAAAAATATTAAAACAATATTTTTTTCAAAATAAAAATATCTTTTTTTTGAAAAAAAATTTTAAAGTTTTTTTTTTTAATTAAAAAAATTGATTAATTTGGTTTTTATTTTAGATATGGATGTCCAAATTATGGATTTGGTTAAAACCATATTAAAAATATATCCAAAATGTGAATTTGGTTAAAATTATACTAATAATTAACCAATTTTTAATAACCGAATTTAGATATGGATATGGATTATTTAAATAACCGGTTTATTTAAACATCCCTATTTTTAGATAACAAAACGAGAACCCCTGCATTATCAAGGAACCCAAAAATTTACTCTATATATTGGACACTTGACACTGTCCTTCAACCTCATAGATACACATACAACTTCTACAATTATATAGCTTAAATGGAGTTCAAACAATTATCTTGTTTAGTTCTATTATTTGTAAGTTATTTTCTTCTTTGCTCCATATTCTTAATCGATCTCCATTGGTTTATATGATTTGAGATATTAATTTGAATTATTTGTACACAGTTCACTTTTGTGGAAATTGACGCATTGAAATCTGGAGAAGAATATTGGAAATCCGTTTGGCCAAAGACTCCTATACCGAATATTCTCTCGGACATATTTATCCCTGGTTAGACTCTCTCTTTGATCTATTTGTGTAAGATTGTTATATAATGTGTATTAATCATAACTATGTTATCTTTTTAATTGTGCAGATAAAGAAACTAATGTACACATTAGAGGTAACGATGAGGACCAAGATTGGACAGCTTTTTTCCAACATGATCTATATCCTGGAAAGAAAATCAGCCTAGGCTTCCACAAGCATTCTAACCGGCAATCGTTAAGATCAAAGGCAGGTCAACCTTTGGGAACATGGATATGGAGTGAAACACATAGTCTTAGTAGCTATTGTAGAAATCCAGCAGCTATAGGTGAAGAGAAGTATTGCGCGCCGTCGTTAAAATCAATGATGGATTTTGCTATTTTGAAGCTTGGTAAAAATATTAAGGTGATTTCGAGTTCCTTTGCGGAAAATCAAGACCAGTATGTGGTGGAAGAAGTAAAAAAAATTGGAGACAATACAGTGATGTGTCATAGATTAAATTTAGAAAAAGTTGTATTTTATTGTCACCAAGTCAATGCGACAACGGGTTATATGGTTGCGTTGGTGGCCTCTGACGGAACTAAAGCGAAGGCATTGACAATCTGTCACCATGACACAAGAGGTATGGATCCTAAGGTGCTTTATGAAGTTCTAAAAGTTAAGCCCGGAGGGACTCCGATTTGTCATTTTGTTAGTAATAAGGCTATTGCATGGGTTCCTAATCATGATGGAAGTGAACATAATGATAACCATCCATGTGTTATATAGGATCTTCTCCTTTGAGGGTCCCTAATGTTAAAACTGGGTTTGTGTTGTGTTGTAATATGTCTTGTAATTGTTGATATCATTCTATCACAATATATTATGTGTGTTTGAATTTAGTAATATGAAAAATGTAGTGTTTTTATGTAAATATCTTCTAGATTTGTACAAACACTTGGGAGCTGTTTACTTGGTGCAACTATTTTAATCCTAATTTTTATTAACAAACACTTGAAAAAGCATGGGTTAAAAATTTGGAGTAGCTTAAGAATATTGAAGTCCGAAAATCATCTTTGCAATTGTTACCGTATCTGACTATGATGGTACCTTGAATGTTTTACTTTTAAAAATTGTTTTAAAGTTGTATAATATCATTGAGTTCTCGCATATTCAAACCAGATAACATACAACAGAAGGAAAAAAAACACTGTATATCATTCATGTTATTTGCGTCTCCATATTTCTCTATTAGTTTATTAAGCTTCTAGTTGAGCTGTTTCCTCCCTTTCTTAAGACTAGTGCTTAACATGTAATCGATCTTGCAAGAATACCATCACAACATAATGAGCATGGTGCGTTTCTGAACTGCAACCTCTATTAACCTGATAATAGCTATGTGTGATAATAGCTATGTGCTTCATACAAAATAATTGATTTCCTGCATATACAGACCACACTACATACAGCATCAAAAATATATATAATTCATGTTATATGTAATTCCATCTTGCTATGTAGGTTTCTAATGCTGTCAATTGGGTTGGTTCTGATGGGAAATTAAGACATAATAATAAACTAATACGCAACGGATATAAAATTTCTTCAAACTTGTAGCCATATTGCGGACCAAAAACATATATAAGACGGAAAATCGAACAAATAAAGACACAAAAGAACACTGATATTTTTAACGTGAAAAACCCCTTAATATAAGAGTAAAAACCACGAATCGTACAGAGCAAAGAAATAAATCCACTATAATCAATTAAGGGTACAAGAGAGTCTTAAAGTGATTTACAAACTAGTGCAAACAACCGCAAATCACAAAGTAAACTAACTTACAAATAAGAATCAAAAGCTGAAAAAGTTTCCCAAAATTGTAGCTTCAGTGCGAAGAAAGTAACTTTCACCTCAGACGTTGTATTGAAATTCTAAACGGTCAAACGTTAGATATATGTGTTATGAACCTGCATACCAAATTTGAGCTCGATCCAACGGTTAACGAATCGGGGATAGTCAATTTAGTGAGACTGGTTGCAGAAAAACGAGAATGCGTTTTTCTCCTCTTTTCTCTCTTTTGAATCCTTATTTTTTCTCTAACTCTTTAAATTCTAAATTGATCATCTCCACTTAAATAAGCGAGACAAATAGACTAATCATATTTGGGTCTTTCTCCCCATAGGAAGGGAGCCAAAATCCAACAATTCTACCCCTCACAATTATGTGGAGGAAATCGTCAAACCGGCGATATCACAATAAGCTTCAAATTTCCCTCTTGGTAATACTTTAGTCATCATATCAGAACCATTATCATTTGTATGAACTTTAGCTAACTCCAACACCTTAGCATTCAAAACATCACGTATCAAATGATATCTCACATCAATGTGTTTGGACATATTATGAAAAGTCAGATTCTTACCAAGATGAATGGCGTTTTTACTATTGACAAATAACACATATTTGTATTGAACAAAACCAAGCTCTTGCAAAAATTTCTTCAACCATGGTAACTCTTTGCATGCTTCGGTAATTGCAATGAACTCAGTTTCTGTAGTAGGTAATGCTACACACTTTTTCAATCTGGACTGCCAAGTAATAACTCCCCCTGCAAATTTAATCATGTAGTCCGAAGTGGACTTTCTGGAATCAATGTCTCCAACCATATCAAAGTCAGAGTACCCCACTAGAGTAGGCTTATCTCCTCCAAAACAAAGCCTCATAATAGTAGTATTGCGAAGATACCTTAAAATCCATTTTACAGCATTCCAATGCTCTCTACCTAGATTTGACAAAAATCTACTGACTATACCAACAACATGTGCTATATCTGGTCTTGTACACACCATTGCGTACATCAAACTACCCACATCAGATGCATAAGGAAGACTTTTCATATCAAACGCTTCATCTTCACTTGAAGGACTTTAATTAGAACTCAACTTGAAATAAGTAGCGAGAGGAGTGCTTACAGCCTTAGAAGTCTCCATTTTGAATCTTTGCAGCACTCTTTCGATATAGTTTTATTGTGACATCCAAAGTTTCTTCTCTTTTCTGTCACACATGATTATAATGCCAAGAATATGTTTAGCTGCTCCCATGTCTTTCATAGAAAATGACTCTTCCAATTGCTTCTTTAACATGTTAATGTTAGAAATACTTTTCCCTACAATAAGCATATCATCAACATATAACAACAGGATTATAAAGTCATAGGTAGAAAATTTTCTAACAAAGACGCAATGATCTGAAGTAGTCTTCCGGAATTCTTGATAACACATAACAGACTCAAACTACTTGTACCACTGCCATGGAGCTTGCTTCAACCCATATAAACTTTTTCTCAATCTACACACATGATCTTCTTTATCTTTAACTTGAAAACCGTCGAGTTGTTACATATAGACCTCTTCCTCCAAATCGCCATGAAGGAAAGCCGTTTTCACATATATTTGCTCAACCTCTAAATCAAGAGTAGCAGTCAAACTCAACACGGTTCTAATTGATGACATCTTTACAACATGTGAAAAAATATCATTAAAATCAATACCCTTTCTTTGACGAAAACCTTTCACCACTAATCTGACTTTATATCTTGGAAGCTTAGAGTTGCTCTCCTGTTTAACTCTACAAATCCATCTGTTTTCCAAATTCCTTTTTTCCTTTAGGAAGCTTCACTAAATCATAAGTGTGATTATCATGCAATGATTTCATCTCATCATGCATTGCATCCATCCACTTTTGATTTTCATCACTTTCCATGGCCTCTTGAAAACACTCAGGTTCACCCTCATCAGTCAAGGTCACATACTCATCAGAATTTTACCTTGTAGAGGATGTCTCTGCCTGTTAGACCTCCTAGGTTGAACTTGAGATGACTATGGAGTTTCACCAAGATTCTCATCTTGTGACAAATCGTTATCCCATTCACCATCATTAGTTGGAATATTTACCTCATCTCCAAGTTGTTGATTATCAACATAATCATATGGCTCACCATTGTGATCATCACCACTAATAGCATCCAGATTATGACTAGGTAACTGAACTCGTTCGACATTAGAAAAATTGATATCTTTCTTGGGTGTAGCCTTCTCTACCTTATCAATGTCTTCAATAGTTTGGTCTTTCATAAACACCACATCGCGGCTTTGAATAAGCTTCTTCCTTGCGGGATCATACAACCTATTGCCAAACTCATCTTGCCCATAGCCGATGATGATACATTGTTTTGACTTTGCACCCAACTTGGATCTTTCATCCTTTGGAATATGCACAAAAGCCTTACAACCAAAGACTCTCAAATGATCATACTTGACATTTTTTCCAAACCAAATTTTGTTTGGAACTTCACTGTTCAAAGCAACAGTAGGAGTGAGATTAAGAACATGCACTGCCGTGTAAAGTGCCTCGACCCAATAATTATTAGGCAACTTAGCTTCAGAAAGCATACACATTACTCTCTTAATTAGTGTTCAATTCATCCTCTCTACAAAACCATTCAATTGAGGAGTTTTTGGAGGAGTCTTTTCATGTACAATAGCATGCTGTTTGCAATAGAAATCAAATGGTCCATAATACTCTCCACCATTGTCTGAACGAACACATTTCAACTTCTTACCTGTCTGCCTCTCAATCAAAGCATGAAATTCTTTGAACTTTTCCAAAACTTTTTCTTTTGTCTTTAAGGCATAAACCCATAGTTTCCTGAAGAAATCATCAATAAAGACATTAATGGACCACAAACATCAGAATGTATCAATTAGAGTAACTTTGACTTTCTTGAGGGAGGATGTCTCTTGAATGACACTCTAGTCTGTTTACCAGTCATGTAATGAGAACACTTCTCCAAATCTACATTATTTAATCTAGGAAGAACATCCTTTTTGGCCAAGACATTAAGCCCCTTTTCATTAATATGACTAAGTCTTCGATGCCACAAAGATGCTTCCATGTCGATAACATTCACATTATCCCTAGCAACCAAAGCTTTTGTCCAATACAACTTAGAAATCTTTTCCCCTCTAGCCACAACCAAGTTACCTTTGTTGAGTTTCCAATTTCTAAAACCAAAGTAATTATCATAACCACAATCATCTAGCATATGAACAAAGATCAAATTAAAGCGGACATGAGGAGCATCTTTGGCACCTCTAAGCAATAATTGCATTCCCATGTTGGTTTTCAAGCAAACATCACCAACACCAATTAACTTAGATACAACATCATTACCCATTTTCAACATTCCAAAATCACTAGAAGTATAAGATGTGAAGAAATCCTTCATTGGTGTAACATGCAATGTAGCACTACTGTCAACTATCCACATGTTCTCATCTGATACAAGATTAACAAACTCATGATTACAGAGAATAACAAGATCATTACTAGTAGCAGTAGTAACACGATCATCATCATGATCTTCATTGTCTATTTGTTTAGACTTACCCTTCTTGTCTTTGTTATCTCTTTTCCACTGATAGCAATACTTCTGTATGTGTCCTGTTTTATGACAATAGTGACACTTCAAATTCTTGTATCGTGGCATAAACTTGCTTCTGTTATTCTTTCTACCACCCTTTAGTTCCTTTTTATGAATTCTCTCCCTATTTTCAATGACAAGTACATCGGATGGAGATGAAGAACCCTATGCCTTCATTCTCATCTCCTCATTAAGAATATCAACCTTAGTCGTTTCCAAAGAAACAACACCTCTAGGAGTAGAACTTGTGATAGAAACTCGAAAAATCTCCCAAGACTCTGGTAAAGATAGCAATAAAAATACT